GGGGGGCGCCTGGGTGGCTCAGTCCGTTAAGCATCCGACCTCAGCTCAGGTCATGATCTCACAGTTTGTGAGTTCCAGCTCCACATCAGGCTCTGTGCTGACAGCTCAGAGCCCGGTGCCTGCTTCAGATTCTGTGTCTCTCTCTTTCTCTCCCCTTCCTGAGCTTGCGCTCTGTCTCTCAAGAATGAATAAACGTTAAAATAAATTTAAAGCACAAAGTTTTTTTTTAAATAAATAAATGTCAATCAGAGGAGAAAACGGGCAAATTGTATAATATATACAGCTGTAGAAATGACCTAGCGTTGCAAGTATCAACATGGTTGAATCACAAAAATAAGGCTGAGGAGTAAATGCGAGTTGCAGAAATACCTTTGTAATAATTTATATGTAAAGTGTAAAGCCAAGAAAAAAGTACTATGTGTTCTTTAGATTATTTGCCTAAGTAATAAAAGTATAGAGACATATGGAAAGATAAACACTAAATTCAAGTAATGGTTGGGAGTAGGGAGAGAGCAAAATGTTATCACGATGGGCTTCAGCTGGCAATGTTCCCTTGCTTAACTAAGGTGACAGGCATATAAGGGCGCTCTCTCTATTATTTTTTATACTTCTCTGTATGTCTGACTTACTTGACAAGTTTTAAAGCTACAATACAGTATGATGAGTGCTATGTTGGTAGAAGAACAAGATGCTAAGATAACATTTGACAGAAGCACCGAAACTAGTCTGGGAAGACTCCCAGGAGGACTGACCTTTAAACTGCGTTTGAGGGATGTTAGCCAGGACAGGGGATGAAGAATGTTCCTAACAGAAGGAACAGCTTTTGCAAAGGCTCTGAGAAAGGAGGGCCCAGTGCAGGAACTAAAAGAAACCTAGTGTGACTGAAGCAGAATTCTGTGACAGAGCTAGACAACAGAGTTTGGCTTCCTTCCTAAGGACGGTAGCAAGCTGTTGATGAATTTTAAAGGTGGAGAATAACTTTCAAGAAAATAATGGTCATGAAGTCTCACAAAGGTCAGGGACATTATTTTTCTCAGAGAAAACAAGCCTGCCTGAATGTCAGGAAAAAGTTCAGTTACTCCCTCTTTGTTCTTTGTCCCACTGTTCAAAATCTCAAGTCATGGGACAGTGGTGTCTAAGCAGTCTGGCAAGACCATTGCTGACAAGATGTCTACTGTCCAGCAGCTGCTTCTGGTTCCCACAGAACCAGAATGGCCCACAGGGGCCATTGGGTAGATGTGCCCTTCTCTCTTCTCACCTTGAGGACTGCTCTTTCAGCTTTGTCCTAATCTCCCATGCCCAGGAGAGTCTGGAGTTCCCGTCTTAGTGCATGACTGTCTACCTATCTACCTGTCTACCCTTCCACCAGGCACCCACCTCGTGGTTCCTTCCCTCACTTCAGGTCTCAGCTCAACTGTTCTATTTTCAAGGAAGCCTTCCCCATTAAAGTTAAACCATTCTCTAACCCTCTATGTCACTGTATCTGCTTTGTTTTCTGTGTTGTGCTCATTTCTACCTGACATTATAATGTGGATTTATCTGTTTCTCTTGCACCAAAATGTAAACTCCTTAAAGGCAAAGAGTTTGTCCTGAGGCTAAGACCTTTCTCAGTTAGGCTATAATGAACAGCCCCCAAATCCCTGGACTTATCTCAACAAAAGTTCATTTCTTGCTCACACTTATGTCCAATGCTTCACCTCAATAAGAGTTTCTATCATTACTGAAGCATTGGGAAGATAATGTAACAAATGCTCTTAAAGCCCCTTTGCAGAAGAGATGCCTGTGATTTGCATTCACATTTTACATGTGAAGGAAACATGTGCAGGAAAAAAAAAACCTCTCTCAGATAATAAACTTTTTAAAATAAATAAATGAAAGTATCTTTACTGTTAAGATGCAATTCTCCCCAAACTGATCAATCACAATCAAAATTCCAGCAGGGTTGTTTCTTTGTTTTTGTTTTTGTTTTGCATGTGTGTAGAAATTGACAAATGATTCCAAAATTTATAGGGAAATCCAAAGGACCTAGAATAGCCAAAATTATTTTGAATAAAAATTTGTAGGAATTACATAATCTGATTTCAAGACTTATTATAAAACTATAGTAATCAAGATAGTGTTTGTTTTTGGCATAAGGATAATACAGATCAAAGAAGAGCATAGACAGCCTATAAATAAACACATAAAACTGGGTTTTCACCATGGTACCAAAGGAACTTAATAGGGGAAAGGATATTCTTTTCAACAAATGATGCCACAATTAAATGATTCACATGGGGGAAAAAATGAACCTTGACCCCTACCTCATACCATATACCAAAACAAACGACAACAACAAACCCAAACACACAAAACTAGATTAATATAAAAGCTATAAAACTATATATAAACTATAAAACTTCTGTAAAAAAAATAGGAGAAAAATATTTATGACCTTGGATTAAGCAAGGATTTACTTTTCTTTCCTATCCACCCAACCCCGCTCCCGTATACTGTTTATTAAAAGGCAAATCAGTTAGGTGTTGGGTAAAAGACTTCTTAAATAGTACATAAACCATTTTTTGATTAAAAAAAATTTTTTTAATGTTTATTCATTTTTGAAAGAGAGAGACAAAGCACAAGCAGGGGTGGGGTGGAAAGAAAGGGGGACACAGAATCTGAAGCAGGCTCTAGGCTCTGAGCTGTCAGCACCAGAGCCTGACGTGGGGTTCGAACTCACAAACTGTGAGATCACGACCTGAGCCAAAGTCAGATGCTCAACCGACTGAGCCACCCAGGCACCCCACATAAACCATTTTTTGAAAAATTAAAGACACTACAAAAAAAAAAAAAAAAAAGACAAAGACACTTAAGAAAAAGAAAAGGAAAGCCACTGACTGTGAGAAAAGATTTGGAAAACATATTTGATAACAGGCTCTTAATTCCAATTCCAATTCAGTAATAAGCAAATGACTATTTAAAAATGGGCAAGGGTGTCTGGGTAGGTTCAGTTGGTTAAGCATTCAACTCTTGATCTTGGATCAGATCATGACCTCATTGTCATAGGTGAACCCAACATTGGGCTCTGCACTGATGGTGTGGAGCCTGCTTGGGATTCTGTCTCTCCTTCTCTCTGCCCCTCCCTGGCTTGTGCTCTTTCTCTCTCTCTCAAAATAAATAAATAAACTTTAAAAAATTAAAAATGGGCAAAAGATTTAAACTCTCCATCAAAGAGGGTATATGAATGGCCAATAAACATATGAAAATGTCTTAGCATCATTTGTCTTCAGGGAAATGAAAATTAAAACTACAATGAGATACTACCTCACATCCACTGGAATAGCTAAAATTAAATGGGTTGATAATAATAAAAAGGTTGGCAAGAAAAAAAAAAGGTTGCTAATAGAATCCATTGCTAATAGAAATGTAAAATGGTACAACTGCTTTGGAAAACAGCTCAGAAGTTTCTTGTAAAGTGAAACATATACTTACATATGACCACTCCTAGGTATTTACCCAAGACAAATGGGTAAATATGCAAAGTCTACACAAAGACTTGTATTTGAATGTTACAACAATTTTACTCATGATATTGCCAAACTGGAAAACACCCATGTCCATCAGCAGATGAATGGATGAACAGATTATGGTATATACAAACAATGGAATACTACTCACCAATAAAAAGGGATAAGCTACTAATACATACAACAGGAATAGATCTCAAGAACATTACACTTAATGAAAAAAGACAGACACAAGAAGGTATATACTGGAGTGCCTG